TGAAATCAATTTTATTGCTTAACTGTAAAATACATAATCTCTTAATCTTAAAATAATAATACGTATTTTATGGCAACAATAATAACAGTTGAGTTAGAGGCAACGCCATTTAATTTAAGTTGAATCTTAAATGGACAACTGACCGTTAATGAGATTTGTGAAATAATTAACTAATTGCCACTCTTATGTTGTTAAATTTGATTAATGTTGCAACAAACAAATGTTGATGTTTTTGATATTGTTTTTCTTTTAGACCCCAGGATTTGGAAGCCTGGAATTTAAGCAGCTTAAATTCCAGGCACTAACGAATAGTTTATTTCGTTAGAAGAAAATTTTTTTCCATCTCCCCCCCTCTCAAGTTATCATTTCTTGAAATTTGTAAAATTTGAATTTTTGACGCCTTATATTTCCGAAACCGCAAGCTTTTTCAAATTTCTATAAACGCAGAAAGCTAACGGTAAATTCCATGACATTAAAAAATATAATTATTTTTCTTAACTCACGCAATTAACCCTTAAAATCGAGTATTATGTTAACCCCTCTTTAAATTAATTTTTGCTTTATTTCAAAAACCGCATAAACTGTTCATCCTAAATATATGCAATTCTAGAAATAGTTTCGTATATGAATGAAAATAATTTTAATAGTGTGGTAGGTAAACATCGATTGTTTTGCAAAGCAGTATTTTCACTTGTTGAAGGGAAAAGTGCAACAATGCAAACAATTGGTTTGACCCAACTTTATTTTATTTTTAAAACAAAACTCAGTGAATATGTAAAGCTCAAACTGCACTTGTTTTATTTAATTGTTTTTTTCAGCATTATAAATTCGGATCAAACAAACAGTTTTGAATCAAATAGTAAATTTCCTTAATCAAACGACAATTCTTTGATACAATGGTTGAGTTCGACTATTACCTTAATGCATCTGTTCCGTAAAATGTAATGGGATAGAAGTCGGTGTTTATCTTACTGCCTAAGAGAAAATGGATATGAAAAATTTGTTACCAAAATGGTTTTATGTTTACCTTGCCTTCAGATGTTATTTCATCATTATAATATATTTGTCTGTGATTTTTCAAAGTAGAACAAGCAAGTTGAAATGAATAAAATAATTAAAAAATAAAATAAAAAAGGTTGCAATCTCAGAAACAATATTTATAAAATAAATAATTTTAGCACTGTATAAACCTTTAAAATTTAGAAGATATATATCTAATCCCTATAAAAGTGGAATATTTTCTTTCGAAGTGGCATAAAAAAGTATATTTTTTTCGAAAAATTATTTTACTAAAAAATTAAATATTTTAATTTTGGTTTTTAGTCTAGGAGGAACAGGCAGTTTTTTTCTATAAATAATGTGGTTATCTCCAAAAAATGTCCAAATGTCATAATCACGCTTTTAAAAAAATTTTATCTGGTCGTACCTCTTAATATATTTCAGATTGATAACTGTTTCGATTAACATTTGAATTTCATTAAAAGTATGAAAATGTTAAATGAGTTGAATGTATCGAGTAAGTACAAATAATCAACGATGATTACATTAAAAATATGTATTTAATTTTATAAAATGTTTTCACATAAAAACTTGACATTTTGTTTACTTAGCCTTTAAACTGTTTTATTTTTATTCAGTTTTGCAAATAAATATTTATTCTATATAAGAAAGATTAAATTATATAACCCATTGTTTAATTCAATTTCCGTTATTCTGTTAGCATCAAGCAACCCCTGTTATAGTTTCGCTGTATAGATTTTCTTCTTTTATAGCAAGTCCATCATGTAAATCAGAAAAAAAAGTGGAATAAAAAATGGAATATTTTTCTTAAAGTGGAATATTTTAGCATAATATTTTTTTGCCAAATTAACATATTTCTTCAGACCATTTTGGCAACACTGAGTAGCTGCTTAGTTACAAAACTCTTTTAGGCAAAATTTTAGGCCTTCCACTAGGAACTTTTGTAGTTCTGAGACAGCTATTACAAGAATTTATATTATTACCAAATTTTATCAGGATAGTGGCCGGATTATCGAACTCATTTTTGTAAAATTTGAGAACTTTATGGACAGAAGGACAGATCTAGCTTAATCAACTGAGAATTCGTGGCTGATCAATAGCATATACTTGTGTGTGTGTCTTAGATTAACATCGTTTTCCTATTGAGGAAATAGATCACTTGTAAAGATTTATTCTCATATAAAAATTTGGCTTTCTATCCTAAAGGTTCTAGAAATTTTTGTATACAGAGTAAAACTAATATACAAAAGGCAAAAGTTGGTTGTTTATCTGTTTTATTATGAGAAAAACTACAACTAATTTAAAATTGACGCATATATTTTTAAAGTACATTTAACTGGTAGCGTTTTAGCTCCAGTGAAAGTGTGTATATTACTGTCGAATTCACTATGTGTAAACAGTTTTGTAACAATTTACCGTTTTTATTTGACTTTTTTTTGAATTAAATCATATTTAGAGCAGGCTTATTTAAAATGACTTCATATATGTAATTTATGTGTTTTGTACGCAAAAATCCTTTACAAGCACAAAAACATAACAAAATAATCATTATATACTTTTCTTCGCCAATTTTCATGTTAATCATAAAAAATCTGAAGTGTTCAGTACATAACCGACAGACAGGAGTATTGTCTATTTTAGCGAGAATGTTACATAAGATTACGAATATTAAACATACACATGAAATTCCATCAAAATCGGTTCAGCCGAATTAGTTTCAAAATTAGTCTGTTAGGGAAATAAAATAGTTCTGATTTTACTCATTCATTATTCTACAACAATTCATGTCCCAAGCCTCATAAATCAAAACTATCCATATAATATTGTATAAATTCAAATTATTTACTTATAACTTTATGTACATATTATGTGTGTATACTCGTATATAGAGTATGCTTACACTTATTTAAGTGACCTTTAAAAACCGAAAAAGTTTTATCGTTATTTTAACGACAAAACAATCAATAAAAAAAAGAGAGAAAAAATCACACAGCATAACCACCTTCTTGTTGCCAACAGTCGCTTATTAACAAAATTATATAAAAATTAATTTCTGTTGTTTTGAAGTACAAAATACATTTTCACATCGTAAATACCTTTAATAGGTCGCAATTTGCTACACAAGCTTGATTTTTTTTGTCTTTTTTTTTAGTTTTTATGTTCACTAATTGGAATTTGTTATTCAAGGTCAGAAAAAATGTTTTTTTTACTTTTTTTTTATTTTTTATTGAATTTTAATAATGAAACTACATAAAATAAAAATTCCATCAGTGTTGCCGTATAATGAAATAATTATAATTAAACTTGACAATTTTGACTTCAAGTTTCTAAAAAAATTAAGATGACCTTTAAATAAATGATGAAAAAGGTTATAGAATCCTTGACATATTTAGTTCATATTCTATATGGCGACCTAGATTTGTAAAATTGCAGTGGAATCATTTATAATTTGTTAAAAACTAGTTCCACTCTTATTTGTATAAAAAAAAAGTTTTCTACTTGACGAGCAACTACTGCCACTTATGCAATGGTAACATTATAGAAATGTCAACTTTTAACATCCCAAAATGGAAAGGAATCAAGATAATTACTTTAATTACGAATTGACAGGCGGATAACACATTTTAATTTTTTTTCTGAATATTTGTTTGTCAATAAATCTACATATATACATATGTGAAGGCATGATATCTGCTTAAATCAATGCTAATTAAAGATACCGATATACAGATAAAAAGGTGGGTGGAAAATTATTGAACATCCATAGAACTGATTTAAAAAATAAATTAGACTAATACTTACGCCTTTTATTTTACTTTTGGCTATAAATCAAATCGAATTAGGTAAAATATGTATAATTTAACTAGAAATTTTTATGGAAAATAAATTATCCAGATAAATTCAAATGTTAAAGCGTTTTTATTTGATAAATGCAATTTTACATACAAATTTAATTTTAAAAGGATGAAAAATAAAGTTGGTCAAACCAATGGTTTGTATTGTAGCACTTTTCCCTTCAACAAGTGAAAATACTGCTTTGCAAAACAATCGATATATACAACACCACACCATAAAATTATTTTCATTCATATACGAAACTATTTCTAGGATTGCATATATTTAGGATGAACAGTTTATGCAGTTTTTGAAATAAAGCAAAAATTAATTTAAAGAGGGATTAACATAGTGCTCGAGTTTAAGTGTTAAGGCGTGGGTTAAGAAAAATAATTATATTTTTTAATGTCATGGAATTTACCGTTACCTTTTTGATTTTATAGAAATTTGAAAAGGTTTGCGGTTTCGGAAATATAAGGCGTCAAAATTTCAAATTTTACAAATTTCAAGAAATGATAACTTGGGTGGGGTGGAGATGGAAATTAATTTTGAAATGAACTATTTATCAGTGCGTAAAAGCTACCAAAATTTCAGGCTCCCACATCCTGGGGTCAAGAAGAACAACATTAAAAATTTGAAAAAAACGGATTTTATATAACGGTAAATTTTAACGGCCATTTTGTTTTTTTAAAGTTCCAGTATAGTGTGCCGTGATATAAGAAGAATATTGTAAAATTTGAAAAACTACAGTAAACAATTGAAAAATTGCATTTTTAGGGTTTTAGGGGGTATAACTTCCAGAGTGGAGGAGATAGGTAAAAATTACGTTTTACGAAAATTAGTTTCTAGTAAAGATCTATGTACATTTAAAATTTTCTGCATTCTATCTTCAAGGGTGTAGAAGTTTTGTAAACAGACACACGAACAGACGGTCGGACGGATGGACAGAGTGAAATTAATAAGCACTTTTTTTCAAAAATTTTTTGGAAAAGTGCTTAAAAAGATATTCAAAAATTAATAGTGTTGAACGTTGTGGTCGTAATCCTATGTTTCATAAATTTTTTTAATTTGGTGATTATTTTTATGAAAATTTGTCATTTTGCTTCTTTTCAGATAATAAACACAAATGGATTCATCAAATTCAGGAAAAACTCTAGAGAATTCTGGGAAACCATCAGAACAATTATCGTTAAAAATAGAAGAAAAACGACAAAATCAAAAACTTTCATTCGAACAACAACAGAAAGAGCAACAAAAACAAAAAAATTATGAAATAAAAAGTAAAACAAAAAGTTATTCTTTATTAGCAACTGAAAAAATGAAATCCGCCATTTTATATCCATACGGACCATTAAGTGGTTCCGGTTGCTGCCGAACATTGCATGCTAAACATTTGGCAATGGCAAGTGCAGTTTACACATTTGTAAGTATTGAACTGATTATTGAAAATACGATTTTTTACTAAAAGATTTTAGTTTCTTATATTTCATAACTTTGTACTCTCTCTAAATTAATACTCTAGCAATTAAATCTTTCAAGAAAAATTTTAAAATACTAGTTTTATGGATCGGTAAATATCGATGTGCGAAGCTATTTTTGGTTTCAAAAATATTTTGATAATTATGATAATTATGTGTTATTATAGAAATTCAAAAACGGAAATATTCTATTTGAATGATAAAAACCAAAGCTAGTAATGTATTAGCTTCTGCATCTTCTTAAAGCAAGAATTGCAATTACATGTATACTTGTGAAAGATCTGACCATTGTGAAACCATAGAATGTCGACATTTCTAAATTGGTTAAGCTCCTATTGCTTTGGAAATGAATAGAGACCGATCACCTTTCCTCTTTCTCTTAGTAGGTGTTACGGAAATCTTCCGGATTTAGCGGACTGCCTCCAGTTTTTCATTTTAAAGTTTTATTTTGATGATATGCAAAAACATTTCTGTGTTTGGTTAAATGTTAACCAATAATTAAGGCATATTAAATTTTTTGACTATTATCTGACAGGCACAATTAAAAAGGATTCTAAAATTGCGCATGCTAAAAAGCGTTCTAATGCCGTATGCTATATAATTGCGTTCTACTGAAATCGTAAATTATTGATCTTCTTCTGTTAGAAACTAGTAAAAATTTAATAAGCTACTAAATTAATAATGTTGTAAAAAATGTTGATAAAATGTTTATTTAAATTGGAAGCGTGTAAAAAAAAATACTTTAAATTATTCTAAATAATTTTCCAACACGCATGTAAAGTTTATGTATTTAAGAAGTATGTAGTTGGACTCTCCATTTATATCACACAAATGCAATCTCTCATCAACATTTGAAAATAAAAAATTCCCTTCGTTAAAATAGTTAAGAAGTGTACTTTCTTATTTTCAATATTCAACACACACGAATTTTGGAGAGAGTGAAGGATACATGATATATGTCTACCTATTTTTATCGACATTGTGTATACAATAGGTAAGTCATGTGATGGCAACACATTTTGCATATTGCACTTTTTAGCAGGCCTGTTTTACACATTTTATCATTTTGAAGAAAATATTCAACAGATTTACTTGAAATTTCATATGTAAGCTTCATATCAAGAACGCGAAACTTCCCCACTTTTGGAAGAAACCAGGCATCAGCAACTGGAGGTTCACTGCGGGCCAAATATACGCATATATAAAAAGAAATTATCGATCGATTATTTCCTTGAAATTTAATATTTAAATTTCTCATATTGAAACAATGAATCTATAAGTTTTTTGGAAAGATCAGGGTTCGGAAACTGATCTGATGGCCGATTTTACATTTTTTACAATATCTTCGGAACGAATTGATGGCATTTTTTGAAATTTGATATTTGAGTTCTAGTTGTTACCGAAACTAACTGGCGAGCATTTAAAGGAGTTCAGGTAGTACAAAACGAAACTCTACTAAGATCCAAATTTACATTTTTGTAGGTTTGTTATAACTATGTCCTAAAAATTTGAAAGGCAATTGTATTTAACAGGCATTTTTATAATATTCTGTTGCACTTTCACTTAACTAGACAATACACATTGCGGTCGGTTATCTGTTACATTATACAGTCTGGTGACCACAACAGATTTTTATAATGTACTTTTAAAGGCAGAAAAGTATAATTTTCACAAAACCATTTCTATAATATATTCCAATACAGGGTAACAAAAATAGTGCAAACATACCATAAAAGCGAAGCGATTTAAAAAAAATTGTGTGTTAAAATAAAAAAAAAACTTTTTATATAATAATTTATATTATATAATTTATATTATATAATTTTTAAATATAATAAAAATAAATTATAACAAGACAAATGAAATTAAAAAAAAAATTGAAATTTGTAGTGAGTAATTATCAGTACATTTATGGATATAAATATAAATTAAAAATTTTTAGCACATTTCCAAAAAAAATTTTGAAAAAAGTGCTTATAAGTTTCACTTTGGCCGTTCGTCCGTGGACATCTTTACAAAACTTTTACATCCTTGAAGATAAAAAGCTGAAATTTTATATGCACGTTAATATAAACGTATTTCCGTAGAAAAAATTTTTTACCTATCTCCCCAACTTTAAAAGTTATACCCCCTTAAACCTTAAAAACGGCATTTTATAACTATTTATTGCAGTGAAACCATAAGCATTTTCCAAATTCCGCTAAAGCAGAAATATACTGGATGGCTTCTTCTGCAATACCATATCTACGCTTTACAAAAAACAAAATGGCTCTTAAAATTCACCGTTAACTAAAACCCGTTTTTTCCAAATTTTTGATGCCGTTTTTCTTTACCTCGGGTTGCAAAAGTCTGAAATTTTTACAGCTTCTAGACACTAATAATAGTTCATTTCATTAGAAAATTTTTTCCCATCTTCATCCCTCTCAAATTATCACCTCTCGAAATTTGTAAAATTTGAATATTTTGCACCTTATATTTGTAAAACCACGCAGAAAGCAAACGGTAAATTCCATGACATTAAAAAATATAATAATTAGTTTTCTTAACCCATTCAATTAACCCTTAAAATCGAGCATTATGTTAACACCTCTTTAAATTTATTTTTGTTCTATTTCAAAAACTGCATAAATCGTTCGTCCTAAATACATATATGCAATCCCAGAATGAAAATAATTTTAATAGTGTAGTAGGTATACATAGATTGTTTTTAAAAGCAGGAAATTCACTTGTTAACAGGAAAATGCCACGATACAAACCATTGATTTGACCATTGATTTTTGAACTTTATTTTATTTTTATTTTCTCCATAATTGGGAATCATAAATAAAGTATTTTTATCGGAATTCGCATGGCACAAAGTGAAGTTCTACTAAGAGCCTATTTTACATTTTTAAAGGTATGTTAACTAAAAGCTTGTTAGCGTCCTTAAATTTTCATAATTTTATGTATCACTTACACTAAACTAGACAATATTCGTTGCAGTCGGTGATGTACTCATCCGACTTTTTTTTATTTTATATAAAGTTTGTAGTTCTTTAAATATTTAGGAAAGCATAATTTTTTTCCATCTCTAAAATATGATCAAATCAAAAAATTTATCACCTGTTTAATATTTTATACAATTCTCTTTACTTTAAACTTTTCCACTTCTTAATGAATAATTTTTCAAATTTTCTTTAATTACTCCAGGATACATAATTATTACAACTACCTATTATCATTATCCACAACTACATCGTTATTCATTTCAAATTTTCTTAAAAGCATTTTGAAAAAAGTAAAGTTCAATTAAGTCAATTAAAGTTAGTAAAAGGAAAAACAGAGAAAAAACAAGAACGATTTTATAAAAAATTTATTAAAGACATTTACACAATTATTACATTTTCATTTTGATAAAAATAAAAAATTTAAAAGAAGTTAACATTGATGGTAATCCATTGAAAATAGCACATTTTTAATAATTGATTATTGTAGAAAATTTTTGCAAAATGTCAAAAATATTGCAAACTGTGAAAGTATAACTTTCTCATAAATACAATTGTTGATTTGGAAAATCAGCTAGAAAAGCAAAGATCTCATTTCAAATATTTAAATATTCGAATTTCATGAATATTTAATCTTATCTAAGCACTAAATTCAAATGTTTCCACTGATCACTGTTTGATCATATTTATTTTACTGTTGTTAAGTTCATAACATTTTTCCCTTTAATCTTATGTTTTCACAAATACTTTCCAGTTGAGTCGACACAATCGTCAATGTTTTTCAGTAATGCTAAAAACAAGACATTTTTTTTCGTTTCTCTTATCTATGTCTAATTGCAACAGTCTAACGAAAAGCTAGTTTGTTTTCAATTTATATGGATTTAATATTTTTGTATTAAGTTCGACCTTTCAATAGTTCAATTTTTGTATTAAGTTCGACCTTTCAATAGGTTAGTTTTTTTCCCGATTTAACTACATGTCTTCTTGCATTGTCTTGTATACAAAACCACTTTGTTATGTCAGTCAGTATACCTGGCAGCAGTTTTTGAATTTGTTTTATTCAATATTCAGCTGAAAAGGACAAATGGAATAAAAATGGTTCTCATTACTTATAATTTTCCTTCATCTGTTCAAATCTTTCTTTTTTCATGTTCCATTTATTTTTTGGCTTATGTTTTCTTTCTGTTTTAAAACGTAATTTAGAAAATTATTATCGTAAGGACCTTACTTCGTCCTTAGTACAATTAATATTAATTTATTAAAATCTTTTGTTTTTCTCCTCGACCCTTTAACTTTTCTCCCCATTTTCTATTTGTTCCATTTTGTTATGGTCACGATATTTTTGCTTTTTTAAATCTTTATTTAAAAAATAAACAAAATTTGAGAAAACGAGAAACGTAAAAAATAAGGTGGGGAAAATTAATGAAGTCACCGAATACGAAAGATATTTGGAAAGGAATTAAATGATCATTAACGTAAAGTGTTGAAATATTTATTGTTCTTACGTGGTAGCATGCCCGGTTTTTTATAATATTTATGTTAGCTTTTAATTTTTTACATATATATTTGTACTCATTTTGCTGACAATTCAAATTTATAAAACCTAGACGTTAAAACATGTTTCACCATAACATCGTTCGAACATTGTACATTGTTTTTTTTTTAATTTTCAAGTAACATGAAAATAGTTCATAATTTTCAGCTCACATTGCCGGAGAATATACATACTTCATTTTAAGATAAATATTTATTTGTTGTTACTATGTATTATATTGTTATTATAATAACAATACCGGTTGTTAACGGTTTTGTGGATGCAATGCATTTATTTTTTTCGGTTTTCTACTTCGAAATTTTCCAAGATTTACAGCCGATCCAAAGATATAATATCATAAAATGAATATATGATAACGACATGTTAATATTTATTAATTATTGCATTACTAGATATAATAATTAAA